GCAAAAAGGAAAGTTGGGATGTAGATAGATCAGTAATATTAGAGAACTTTTGCTTAACTTTAACAGACAGCAGCAATGCCCTCATTACTGCTGACAAATTCAAGGTCTGTCTCCACTGCACTGTCCTCCCATCACTAGTAAACAAGACACCAAGATCCCAGAACTCTTCCATCTGAAACAAAGACTCATTCCTATCCTGGAGACAACACTCCACGTTTTACCAAGAGGAAAAGTAGAACCATCGGCTAGCTTTAAAGTAGCATCGATCCATATTCAATTATGAGTAACTGCAAGTCATTAACTGAAGTGCCAAATTAGACGGTCAAGGTACACTGAGATCAAATGGAAATGTGAGGATCTGATGTTCTCTAAGGCTTTCTCAAGAACCCTTTGATTTACACGCAGAACATAAGTAACCTATATCAAGTTTCATTCCATTTTAAAGCATTACCCAAATCTCAATGTTTGCCTACAGCAAATAATTTGAATTCCAGCAAAAATAAAAAATAAAAAAACAGATAAAGCCCTAAACCATGACTATAAAGTAAACCATTTCTGTTCATGCCTGTAATTTAGTTTCCTTGTTGAGCTAAAACACAATGATTATGCAAAGGAATGGAATAAAGCATAGTGTGTGAATTATCGTGCAGCTAGCCAATAAAACAACTTAATTAGCCCCTAGAGATGCTTATCTTCAAAGCTCACACAAAGTAGATTCATTACAAAAATATAGTTTACAGAGTGAACAGAGGTAGTGCATTAGTCCAGTAACAGTGTAACCTTTCATTTATCTTACAAATATTCATTTTCTCACACATTCACTCCTTTGTTTACCGTTTATCCAACATAAAGGCTACTAGTTAATCAGTACCTGCCGCCCCTTAGAGCTGTTTATAGCTGAAAAATGATTTCCAAATCTTTATGATCTTCATTTACCACATTTCTTTTAAATTACTAATTTACATTGGAGCATAAACATTCACCTTTCAGTTACCTTAGGTTATTTCTGCACACTTATACCTAACAGTTTATTCACTACAGATGGTTTGAGTCCCCGCATTCTATAATTTACACATTTAAGATGCCATCCACAGAGAAATGTATTGGTGGGTTTAATTTGTATATTTTACTCTTGTGATTGTATCAGTATGTGTGTGTTTATGTAGCGCAGAGAAAATCCAGAGCCTTAAACTGTGTGAAAGGCACTCTGCACATTACACTGATCTCCCTGTAGACCTGCTCTACCTGCAGCTCATCCTAATGCCTGATTTGCAGCTGCATCACGGAAGCTGCATCTTTAGTTATTCCATCGTTTTATGCTTCTGTGGCTCTGTTTTGTTTTTCCTTCTCTCCATTTCTGTATTTATCTTCACATGTTAATGCACACCTGCTGCAGCTTTGTCTAATAAATTATCATTACTATGGCTGACATGATTTTCTTCCTTCTATCCTTGTAATTACCACAATAAACAATGATTTATTAAGTGGCTTTTAACCAGAAGTGCACTAATTGACCGAAAACCAGAATTAAGTAATTTCCCAGTTCGCTGTTTATCATCTTCTACAATGTTTATGTTTATGTTTATTTATTTGGCAGACACTTTTATCCAAAGCGACTTACAATTTATAACCTATAAGGCAGTGGTACTCAACCTTTTTTCACTGATGTACCCCCATGAAATATTTTTTTCAGCCAAGTACCCCTAATCAGAGCAAAAGCACATTTGGTTGTAAAACACAAAAGACCTTAAATAGAGCACGGTGCCTTCAGTGACTGATTTATTAAATTTTGGAACTGATAAACAAGTACAAAATTCAACCATTTGAAAAAAAAAAAAAACTATTTCCAATATTTTCATTGTTAATACTCCATAACTAAATGTGTTGGAAATATTTTTCATCACTAAAATGTGATTCTAATTAATTAATTGAAAACAGTCACCATAAAACTATTTAAAACATAAGATTGCCCATTGAACAATCCATAAATGTGCAAAACACTGCACATTTTTTGTAGTATCTCTTGAACTATTTGGAAAAAAATATATAATTAGAAATATTTAAAAACTATATATCAAATACAGGCCAAATAAATGATTAAGCTAATTATAATTAAAGATTTGTGCTCATAAAAAAACATATCAACATAAAGTGTTCCCTTTTGGGATCATAGTATATCTGTTCTCTAAAAGAAATCATTAACGTCATTTTAAATAACAACAATTGCTAAAAACAAATGCAAATCTCAAAATATATTTTTAAAAATCAAAAAGAAGACTGAATTCTTAACATTACTGCACTGAACGGAGTGTTTTTACAGACTTTTTAGTGAGACACTTGGGCTTGTGCTGAGGATCTTTTTCATCCTTGGTGGCAGGGAGGCAACTGCTGTGATCAAGCTCTTTTCTAGACACAGTCTGCTTCTCTGATCAGTGTCGTTAGCTAATTTCTCACCACAGAAAAAACACAGTGCCTTGGGTGGGTTGCAACTTGTGGAAGTAAATCCAAATAAAACATAATCTTCAAGATAAAGCCGGAATTTTGCCGGCTCTGGTTTGGCCTTCTTGGCCACTTGTCCCTCCGTGTTTTCTAAAGAATTGCTGCTGCGCTTCAGCCACGTGTCCAACGCTGATCCAAGTGACTGACTGGTGATGCCAGGCGTTATATAACAGGTTGGAGTTAACCATCCTGGTATGGGGGAGACTCTGGGATTTTGGGATAATGAATTTAGCTTACTTCTACTGAATATAAAACACATTTTATGAACTTTTACTTATATTTTCCTAAAATATTTATTACATTATTTTTTAAAAGATTTTCCATGGATATTTTTTTTTTAAATGAATGTACATTTTCTCATGTACCCCCTGGAGTTTCTTTAAGTACCCCCAGGGGTACGCGTACCCCCATTTGAGAAAGGCTGCTATAGGGCATGTTGTGATCTGTGGGGGAAACCGGAGTACCCGGAGGAAACCCACGCATGCATGGGGAGAACACGCAACTCCACGCAGAAAGGCCGCAGCCGAGTTTCGAACCTTCAACCTTCGTGCTGCGAGGCAACAGTGCTAACAACTACGCCACCATGCAGCCCACAAGTTTGTGGTTTGCTTGTTTTGTAAGAAAAGTTTTAGCTACATTAAAAAATATATCACTTTCATGTAGAAAGAATGGTTTGCCATCCTTTTTTAACCCACAGATATCCAGCTTGTGCGACACTGATGGAAAATCAATCATTATGAATAAATAATTCAGTGTGCTGGTCTATAAACACAGTTTTATTTTGACAAACAAAATTTTATTGTTTTAATTTTGAAGGTGCTATCCCAAAAAGTAGGCCTTTTGGGGAAATAATGTCGTCACCCGACTCCTAAAATGTCATTAAATATAAAAATATTCAGTGGTAACAGATAAGTGTTTTGAAACATAAAACAGGAGAAACACATTTCATGTTTCCACACAGTGAATGTGACTTGTAGCATTTTTTTGTTTGGTGAAGAAAAAAAATGTTCCAGTACAAATGCCAACAATGATAAATAGTGGTGAAATATTGAAGGAGTGAAATTTAATTAGAGAACAAGTTTATTAAAAAAGAAAAGAAAATTGTATTTAAAAATATTGAAAGGTACTCAAGCCAAATAACAAGCTCAAATATTTGATCACATTTAATACCTGTCAGAGACACATGTGAACATGACAAATACTAACTTTGTGATTTGAATGACTTTTTCCTGGAAGTCAAGACAGAAGACAAGATTATTTGTGTCCTGTCCTTCTGCAGTAGTTACCAGGTTCCTCTTATCAAATTGGTTAAGTATTTCAACAGATCTCTTGGTTGCAATAACACTGACATGTACAGTGTGTTTTCCATCTCTTTGACTGACTGGAGTGTGTTAGGTCTCAAGTGAGCGGATGACTCAACCCCCCCTGGATTCCATTCCTCTATGGCAGCTGTGATGATGGACTCAGGTGATAAATGTTTTACATCAAAGACCTGGAGCTGCGGCGCTCTTTCAACAGGTCAATGGAGTCGGAATTCTTAACGAGTCTCCTCAGACTCTACGAGGGGCCCTACTTGGACTATTATTGACTTTCTTGTTGAATTTGCCCTGCATCTGCTGTCCAGGAGGACCAGTCATCCTTTGGATGTTCAGATAAATGCACTTGTTTAAAAGTTCAGTGAACCATGGATGCCTTGAAGATTTGAGGTAATGTGCATAAACACACAAGCAGGCAAGCTGATGAGTTACGAGGGTATTGAGACAGCTGCACAACAATCAACATCAATACAACTATACAGGAATGCAATGGCAGAACAAAAGTACCTGCAAGCCTCTGGTTTGCTGTGCAACTAGTAACATAAAAAAATCAGTTAAATGTGTTTCTCTTTGTCAAACAAGTGGAATAAAACCTAATTGTAGGTTAAAAAAGCAGCATAAGATAAACTCAATCAACACTATGACATACTGTAACTATCCCATCTGATATTTACTCGTTTATTTATTTTAAATAATAAAATACGTTATAATAGTTCTATTGTCTATAGAATACATGTTCATTAACGTTTTGCTCCCATGAAGCAATCTCACCAGCTCTATTCTTGACATTTTCAGTAACTCCCAGAAATTTTAGACATTGGTCACCCAGAACATTTAATACATTCTGACCAAAATCTGGTATTTGCTTGTACGAAACTGACTTATATTCATACTTAGACAAGGTGTAGCAGGTGATCCAGTCAGTGAAGTATTAACCAGGCTGGGTGCTAGGGCAACAGGTTAACTGAATCCAGGGAAAATAATGTGGGAGAGGTAGCACACGTGCAAAAACAGGCTGAAATTGATCCAGAATCAATTTTCACCATCTCTGCATCCATCTCTACAGCTGCTGCCTGATCAGGTGATTTAAAAGAGGCCTGAACCATGTCGTTATGGAGTGGGGAATGATTTGCATTAGGATGTGATGAAAGGCTTGGGTTGTTGTGAGTTTGGAAGGAAACTTACCCCTGCAGATGGTACCATTGCCCACATAGCCTGGCTTGCAGGTACACAGGTGTCCTCTGATGGTGTTGGTGCAGATGGCGTTTTCATCACACAAATTTTGGCCGCTGGCACACTCGTCGTGCTCTGTGGGAGAGGGAGAGGAAAACTCCATCGTTAGAGTAACTGCGACTATGGCTTTGTGTGTTGTGTGAAAAATGGATAAGTCGTTGCTTTTTCATCTGAGAAGCAACAGAAAGTCTACTCGGAAAGGAAGTCAAGCAGCTACTTGGCTGAGAAAACAGGAAAAAAGCTGAGATTTTCTAACAACCATCTCCCAGAACAACCTTGTTTCTGCTTGGCCTGCTCACAGTGGATTTCAAATACATGCTGATTCATGAGAGTCATTTTCAACATTAAAAGCTCTGCTCCTTTTTTTTCTGGTGTTTACTTAAAAAGCATCATTAGCAGCAGAAGCCCATGGTGTGTACCAGGTGTGCTGACTGACTAACTACTCTGAATCAGCCTCATTTAGACTAATTATATAGGCTTCGTTAGTGAACTCCCACTATGGAGCATATGCGTTAGAGGAACAATGCACTGCAAAAACTGAGAGTTAAATTAGTTGAAATAATTAATGATAATCTTTCAAAATTATTAGTTACTTGTTTAAAAAGGTCTTGGCATTGTGAATTTTCATTGTTGGAAGATAATTGCCCTGTTTTACTTCAGGCAAACATCACATGTAGTAAAAGTAACTGGCTCCATGCTGTGTGATAAGCTGACTCCTATTAAACTGGTGTGAAATGAGCTATATAAGTGTCCTCCAAAAATGCAGACCTACAAGGTAGTTCACAGTCAAAGTATGTGTCCATTTATTGGAATTGTGTCATCTGCAACAGGAAATTAGTCTGCTAGATACCTATTTAGTCAATCAGGTGCAGCCCATATTTTTGCAGCATTGTGGAATATATGTGTCATGAAAATATAGAACAATAACAAACCTGTTCAAATGGTGGCGAGGAAGAAATAGCAGACAATGCAGATTGCAAAATATTATTATGAACACTGACACTGTCTATGGAGGTTTGCTTTCACCTACATGTGTATATGTACCACGAATGACATCAAAAAGGAAATAAAAACCATACTCCTCATAAGTAATCATTTTCTCCTTTTAAACAGACAGCTGAAAATGTTTTATTTTTACCTGGTAGGCCTAATTAACGGCAGAAACACACATTTGCAAAAACAGAAAATACATTCTGATCAAAATATCCAGACTTTATTTTGGTTGTAAAGATAAAAGCATAGACATAGGAATGAGGGCTGCCTTGTAATTCAAGTTCTGTTTGCTAACAGTTTATTTTATTTATTTATTTATTTTTTGCAGCCCTTGGGGAAAAAAAAAGGCAATTCACCTTTTACTCTTCAAAGTGAAAATATATGCTATGGCATTGGCCTACAGACTGGGGTTTAACTGTAGATCCATCAGATAAACACATTGTGCAGCTGCCTCAAAATGTTATGAAGACAAGCAAATAGGTTTTTTTTTTGAGAAAATTTGCACCAGTCCTAGTTCTCTAGGATGTTGTAGAGGGTTCTTTGAAGAAACAGCTGATTAAGGGGCTTTTTCAGAAATTGATAGCATGCTGAAAAAGTAATTTAACCACTGATTTGTGTGTGTGGAGGTGTGTTAAATGTAAAGTAAAAAATGTTTTTCCAGAATAAACGGATACAAGTCATCTGGCCTGATTTCAGTTATTTCTATTTGAATAACTAGACATATTTCTTTGACAGCAAACAGAAAATGTGTTGGACACAATTAATCAAGAGTGTTCCTGGTTCATGCAAAACATGTAAATGTCATCTTTCCAACCTAGCAATTTTAATAGTAACATTATCACTATACAGTAATTCAGTAGTTTTTTTATGAGTTTGGATTCCATCCTTGGACACACGTGGCTGTGGATAAATAATCTAATTTCCTCAGATTGTAGGAACGGGTTGAATTTCTCAAAATGGAATATCGTATGCAAGGCTAGTGTAAAACCAAAATGTAGAAGTTTTAATATAAATGTTTTAGTACTGTGAAAAATAGCGCGTTAATTTAGTTAATTAATGTGAAATGTTTAATGCGTTAAAATTTGTCACGTAATTAGCCAGCAAGCAATTAGTCCAGCAAGCCTGAGCAAGTAAGAAACGTTGCGCTCACAGGAGACTACTGGACTTCAATGAACAATGATAACTACTTGGGCGTCACAGTGCATTTTATTGACAATGACTGGACTCTGCAATCATTTGCACTAACATTGAATAAAACTGAAGAGTGACACTATGCTGAGGCGTGTGATGACCATTTTCTGAATGTAGCAAACAAATGGAAAATCAAGGACAAGTTAACCACACTTGGTACCGACAATGCTCATAACGTGGTTGCAGCCGCCAGACTACTTCCATTTGAACACCTGCCCTGTACAGCCCACATTCTGCAAAGAACTGTTACAGTGTCTCTTAATGACTGTAGATTTGGAAGTGTTCTGGCCAAATGTCGCAAGATTGTTGGACATTTTAAGCATAGTCCAGCACAGGAAATAAAGGAAAAACAAGTTGCACATGGACACAAAACAGAACCACTTGTTCAGGATGTTCCAACACGATGGAACTCCACCCTAGAGATGATTAAGCAGATCCAGAGAAACCGATCTGGGCTGACCACCATCCTGGCTCGGCATAACAGCCAGGTTGACCATGCTGACTGACCAGGAGCTGGCCAAACTTCAAAAGTTGGAGCAACTGCTTGAACCTTGCAGGTAAATCATCTTGCTTCTCTCTCCTTCTCTATCTCACAACACAACACAACATAACATAACATAGCATAACATATCATAACGCACTATACCATACCATAACATACCATACCATCCAATTTACAGAGCACATTTACAATCAGCATGGCAGCTGACTAAAGTGCTGTACAGATGAGAAAAAAGCCACAGCCAATTAGAAGAGCATAACAGCACGAGGAAAGTACCAATATGACTAAACAAAACTGAAAGACCTTATAGATGTCCACAGACTAAAACAGTAAAGCTAAAAGACCACTATTACAAACCAAAGAAGCTAAGAGACACTATATCCATGTAAACTAGCAAGAAAAAGAAAAAACTACAAAGTAAGAGGGATCAAAACAGTGTAGGAAAGCACACTTAAGAGTAGAGTAAAATTGAAAGGACTGGATCACTGCACAGAAGCTCAGTGATGGAAGTGTCTTCAGTTGTGAGATATGAAAACGCATGCTCCCCTTGTGATTTGTTTTGCACCTTTGGTACACACAAAAGCAAGTGAACTGCAGATCAGAGATCGAGATGGGACATCAGGTGTGAGCAGCTTAGATAGGTAGGAGGGAGTCAGACCATTCAAATCCCTATATGCAAGAGTAAGTTCCTTAAATTGAATCATGTGATGCACAGGAAGCAAGTGTAGATCAGCCAAAATGGGGTTATGTGGAGTCTGTCAGTGTTGGTGAGAAACCTAGCAGCAGCAATTTGAACTTCTGCAATCCATTAGGACAGGATACATTAACCTGGTCAGAACTGAGTTGGCATAATCCAGATGAGAGCTAATGGGGGTGTGGATGACAGACTCCAGCTATCATCTCCAGGGGATGGATTTTAACCTAGTTATATGAAGTAGTTGAAAAAATAAAGCAGAACTCATTGCAATGATTTGTGAAGACATAAAACAAATCAGAGTCTAGTTTGACTCCAGGCTGGTTAAACACTGAAAGGAGTGAAAGTACACTAGGTGAGTTTTAGCGTAAAAAGAATAGCATCCGTTTTGCTGCTGTTGAACCACAGAAGAGTGAGGGCAAGTCCGTTTTTAACCTCAGTGACACAGTCAGAGAGTATAGTAGTTGAGCTTGGTTGATTTAGTGCCAAATAAAACTGACAACCGTCGGCGTAAAGATGGTAGATCATTCCATGTTTAGCTAGGATCTTCCCCAATGGAAGAAGAGGACAGGATCTCAGATTGAACCCTGAGGCACTCCCCAAGAGAGTGGCACAGAGGGGGAAGTGCAATCCTCGAGGTTCACACTAATTTGTCAATCAGTCATGTAAGACATAAATCAGACAAGTGGAGTCCCTTTTACTCTCACCCAAGATTCTAGTCCACTCAATAAGTTTGTATGGTCTACTGCAGAGGTATTAGGTTTTAATCTTAACTCTGTTTCAACACACCTGACTTCAATCAGCAGGTGATTAACAGGGTTCTGCAGAACCTGATGAGCTGCTGCACAGGTGATTCAACCACTGAATCAAGCTTATTGTAGCAGATAAACCACTAAAACATGCTGGATACTGGCCCTCCATGCCTGGAGTTGAATACTTCTGGTCTTCTGCATCGGCAGCTGTGGTTGGGTCAAGTAGTGAGAGCAGGACTTAAAGGTATACCAAAGGATCTTTTTTTTCCAGGTGGATCATCTGAACCAGTGGTCCGCTTAACTGTCAATAATTCTGGTGAAACGTTCACACAAGGTCGTCATCGTAATTTGCTGGGTAGTTTTCACTTCCTGCGCATGCAAAAAGCGAAGGTTGGGCTCCTCAAAGATGCCTCTGTGGCCGTTTTTCTGCTCAGCAGGTAAGCTAAAGTTTGGCATACTATTTGGAGAAATTAATTTCAGATTACTGCTAGAAAAAGAAGTTGGCTGCAAGGCCGGCAGCTACTTTCTCACGTGCATTTTTTTTTTCCAAAGTGAGGAAAGGGTGGTTCTTTCCTGAAATTCAGAAACATCCTCCACTATACCTTTGAGAGCCGGTATCAGTTGACACAAGAATATCATTTAGCATACAAACATGGGCAGATTATATGTTGAAATTGGGCCTGAAACCGGATTGGAACAAGTCAAGAAGGCAGCGGTGATCCAGATGAAGTGAGAGCTGAGTGTGAGTGCTCTCTTGACCTTTTTGTGTTTGCTGTTAGCTGTAGTTCAGAAGAAAATAGGAAGAGGGTTTAATATAGCAGCCTGTATGACTAATCACCACTAAGAGACCTTTATAAACCTGATTCTTTCTGCTTTCAGGATTTCACAAATGCTCACTTATGCATTCTCAGTAAACCTGTTTTGTTTTCCACAGAAATACAAT